CTGTAGGATCAGCACTGGACTACAAACCACAAGGTTGGTAGTTCAAGCCCACTAGCCACAACAATAGTCTCTGTTAAAGAGCCCTGGTATTGCTAATAAGCACTGGATTGCTAACCACAAGGTCGGTAGTTCAAGCTCACGAGCCACTCTGAAGGCGGAAGACGAGGCTTTCTGCTCTTGTAAAGACTTGCTGCCTCAGAAACCCTATGCAGAGTCGTGATGATTTGGAGTCAACTCTTAAGTGGTGGTGGGTATGTAGGTCTATCGTATCTGACTAGCTATATCTTAGTTACCTAGTGTTGCTATAACAGAAATATCACAAATGGTGGTTCTAACAAACAGAAATTTAACAAAATTTATTCTCACAGTTTAGGAGGCTACAAATCTGAATTCTGGAGAAAGGTCCTTGACTCCTTTCAGTAAGTTCAACACTCCTTGGTGGTCTTCATGTATCTTGGCATCAGTCTTTCCCTGGATCTAGGAGCGTCACAGTACAGGAACCCAAGGTGCAAAGGGTGCATTCCACTCCTGGCTCGGCTTTCTTGGTGGTAGTAGGTTCAACCTTCTCTATTTCCTTCTCTCTCCTTGTATATCTCAAACGAGATTGACTCAACTAACCTCATTTGCATCATGGCAGTGATGATTTACAACACATAGGATAATTAAATCAGACCAGGGCTTGTCACATCAGACCACATCATGGGGTTTTGATTGCATTATATTTATATTAGAGCTGATTATGGGGAATTATTTCGTCTTAATTGCTATGCTATACACACAGAAGTAATCTCATAGCAAGAGCAATAATCACTTATTGTTAGTTGCCATTGAGTGGATCTCATTCATAATTGTATATCTAAAATGTTTTTTTAGCTGCTTTGCAATATTCCACTGTATGGATTTATCAGAGTTGATTGAGCAATTGTTTGGCATTTGTTTTGTTTCTGCTGTCTTGGCCAACATAAGGTAAAGATCCCTTTATATTTCTTAGGTAGTGATGCTTTTATTTTTGTGGGAGAGGTTTCCAGTTGTGAGATTGTTGCTGCAGAATATGCATGCATCTTAAATGTTAATAGATATTGCCGTATAACTTTTCACAAAGTCTGTAGGAATTCACATCCCATCATTGATACGTGACCCCTTTTCTACCAGCATTAGGGCTTATCACCGTTTTTTTGTTTTGTTTTGTTTTTTTTTGACGTTGGTGGTGGTGCTGTGAAGTGAGTTCTGGCTCATAGCGACCCTGCATAGGGTTTCTGAGGCTGTAGATCTCTATGGGAGCAGAAAGCCTCATCCTTCTCCCTTGGGCGCCAGTGGAGTTGAATGCCAATCCTGTGCTGCCCTACAGCACCACCAGTGCTTCTAGAAAGTTGTTGCTGGTTAACAGTTTCTCTAGTCCCTTTCTTGGAGTTTTTATATTGTATTGTTTCCATCTGTATTTTCTCTAATATGACTCCAGTCTTTATCTCTTTTTTTCCTACTCTTCAAAATATTTTTACCTTTTCTATTCAATTTAGGAAACTCTTTGTCCCATTTTGATTAAATTAAACTGAAAGGACACTCCTTACTACACTGTAATGACATTAATGTTGAGTATAGCCTTGGCATTTGGCCAGAGTCGGGACATCCTGGTCTGTCAGTGCTGTGTCTGCTGCTTTGGCAGACTGTTTGATTGAAATTATAGTTGTCTAAGCACTGATTATCTTTGTAAAAAGAAGTGAATCTGTCCAGTTGTATATACTGTTCCATAAAAAACAAAGTCTGTGGAAAATGCTCTTATTGTAGCTTTTCAGTTAGAAATGGACCCTGTGGAAAATTTTGTTGGGAACTGTGTAACAGTGGCAAAGCAAATTTTCTCAAGGAATCCTTAGTGTTTTCAGCTAAAGGTCTGGTAGCTATTTCAGAATCAGCCTTATTTTACCTTAGTAGATTGTACAGATGAATAATGGACTCTTTGGAATATGCATATTTTTCTGTGACCCTCGATTGCTGGAGGAATTCAGAACATATAGTAAATATAGTCAATACCCTGGTATTAATGCTGTGATTTTTTAATAAATGTTAGAATTTCCAGACTGCCAAAGGATCTCTGGTAGTGTAGTGGTTACAAAACTACCAGTTGTTCTGCAGGAGAAAGATGAGGCGTTCTGCTCCCGTAAAGATTTATAGCCTCAGAAACCTTGTACAGGGTCGCTATGAGTCAGAATCAACTCCACGGCACATAACAACAACATCAGAAGTCCTGGTGTAGCCATGTGGGTTAATGCACTGGACTGCAGAGTTGGTTTGAACTGCAAGGTCGGTGTTTTAAGCTCACCGTTTGCTCCTCAACTCTGTACAGGGTCGCTATGAGTCGGAACCAACTGGAAAACACCACCAACAACAGTTGTCTTAAAGGACTCCTGGTGTGGTGCTGTTGAATAAACATTTGACAGCAACATTGGTTTGAACCTCAAGGTTGGCAGTTCATTCCTTGGAAACCCTACAGGGTCACTATGGGTTGAAACTGACTAGACGGCACTTAGCAACAACAATTGTCTTAAAGGATGCCTCGTGTGGTGCTGTAGGATCAGCAATGGACTGCGAACCACAGGGTTGGCAATTCAAACCCACCAGCTGCTCCTCAGAAATCCTATACAAGGTCACTATGAGTCGGAACAGACTTAACGGCACTTTAGCAACAACAAATTTGTCTTAAAAACAGTTTGTACAAGTATCTTTGTAAAGATTTTAAATGAGACATTCTTTTTTCTTAAAGGTGTTTTTTCTAAGTGAACAACAATAAAATGATTTATAAACAGTTTTTTAAACTTCATTTATGTTAAAACTAGTAAACTAAGCTGCCACCTCATGTCACAACCTGGAGAATTTACATAGCCACAGAATAATTTTAGTTCAGCTGAGGAAATGAGACTTCAAGGCAGTAATCAGCTCTTGCTTGTGTTCATGTTGAAATGTTGTAGAGACAAGAGAGGGAATAATGTGCAAAAGATAAGTTACAACAATACGAAGGAATACTTACTCAGTGAATGGAAGAATTATTTCACATCACTTCATGCCGCTGCTAGTGACATTTGAAAAAAGGTAAAGTGAGAAAGAACTATGAACCATTCAGAAAAGAAGATAGAATGAAAAAGAAACTGTTAAGGAAAAAAATCTGAAGATAGGATAATGGTACATGAAGCTAAAAATTAATTCAGAGTGGCTGCAGTAAGCAGGGTTGATTCTGCAGAAAACAGAAAACTGGTGTGGCACTGTAGGCTAAGCACTGGACTGTGAAGCGGGTTCAAGCCCATGAGCCACTATGAATCAGAACTCACTCAATCGCACTTAGCAACAACAAAGGCTTAAATTAATAGGCAGAAAAAAGTGACAAAAAAATAAGCAGTTACACAGTGAACAAAACACCATAAGGGTGCACTTGACAGAGTGGATTGTGGGTAGAAAAATTCAGTGACTATTGCCTTTATTGCTAATGTTATGTGTATACATGCATGAATGTGTACATACACAAGTTGTACCCTAAAATCATGAGACATCTAGGATAAGGACTCAGCTGCCCTGTCTACCAAGTCACACCCACAATGACACGTTACGAAGCAATGACAGTTGAAAGCTGTTATTAATTATAGAAGGTAAACAGTAAACAAAAATCCTCACAACTTGACCAATAAGCAACATCATGACAAACAGAAAAAAGGTTGAAATCGTTAAGGATTTCATTTTACTTGGATCCACAATACTGACGGCAACAGCAGTCAGGAAATCTAACAGCATATTGCCTTGGGCAAATCTGCAGAAGATCTCTGTAAAGTGTTCGAAATCAAATAAGGTGTTCCTGGTCCAAGCCATGGTATTTTCAATCACCTCCTATGTGTGTGAAAGCTAGACAGTGAATAAGGAAGACTGAAGAATTGATGCCTTTGAATGATGTTGGTGAAGAATATTAAATAGACCATGACCTGTCAGAGGACTGTGTTAGAAGTATGACCAGAATGTGCTGTAGAAGCAAGAATGGTAAGATTTCATCTCACGTACTGAAGATGTGGCCTTAGGAGGGACCATTCCATGGAGAAGGATATCATGCTTGTAAAGTACAGGGTTAGTGAAATAATAGACCTTCATCAAGATGGATTGGCAGAGTGGCTGCAATAATGGGCTAAACACAGGAACAATCAGGAAGATAGTGAAGGACCAGGCAGTGTTTTGTTCTTTTGTTCATAGGGTTGCTATCAGTTTGAATCTACTCAATGACACCTAACAACAACAAAAATATATAAAGTTAACAGTCACTAATTCAAATAACTGGATTGCTACCTGTAAGGTCAGCAGCTCAAACCCACCAGCCGTTCTTTGGAAATCCTATATAGGGTCATTATGAGTTGGAAGCACTTGACCAGTTTGTGTTAGACAGCTAACCCAAAGTGGCGATTTGAATCCGTTCTGCTGTACTGCATGAGAAAAACCTCGTGATTTACTTCCATTAAGATTACGTCTTACAGTGCCCTACAGAGCAGTTCTCTGCAACATATGGGATCGCCATGCGTTGGGATTTGCCCAGTGGCAACAGAGTTGTTTTTTGCTTTATACGTAAGAATGGACTCTTGGTGCGGTGCTGCAGAATAAGCACTGAACTGCAAACAAGGTCGGTGGTTCAAACATACCCGTTGCTCCTTGGTAAACCGCCAACAGGGTTGTTAGGAGTCCAGACCCCATAGAAGCACAGGGAGTGCTGTGGTGCTATAAGATAAGCAATGAATTACTGACCCAAAAGTTGATGTTCAAGCACACCAGCTGCTCCTTCACAGAAAGATGAGGCTTTCTGTCTCTGCAAAGATTTACAAGACTTTACAAGTTTTGAAGAGGGAGTTTAGTTTAAGAGTATGTGGGAGGAAGATAGAGTCCCCACTGAATAGTTTTCATCTTGTCTAGATGGGTCCGGTGAAAAGAGATGGGGATAAGATTCTTACTGAGTAATTGTTATCATTGACTAATTGTGAGTGTCACAATTGTAAATGTAGAAGTTTTGTAACAAAAATGGGGAAGTAGTTAATCTTACTGTCCAGAAACAGAGGGACCCTAGGACCATCAAGGGAGAAGACCATAGGTGGAATATGAGACCCTATCCAGAGAATCAGGGGCGCCAGAGATGGAGGCAGCGATGAGGATTTGGAGAGAGGATGCAGCTGAGGACTCTAGAGTCATGGAAAGAGAGGGACTAAGTACTGGCGTCCAGGAAGAAGACTTGCAGAATGTGTCCTTTGGTGGTGTAAATGATTATATATTCCTGAGTGTTTCTGTGTATATCTCTCCACCCCCTCTTCACCCCCCCAAAAAAGATTTACAAGCCTCAAAATCCTTATACAGGGGTGCTATGAGTCAGACTGCCTCAACGGCACTGAAAAATAACATAAGTAAGCAAATTTTGGTCATATTTTTACTCATGAATAGTAACACTGTAGGTCTTTATAAAATAATATTTTAAGGAGAAAAATTCCTCTCTGGTCTCCTAAGAGAAAGATTTGGAGGAATTTAAAAAAACACAATTTATTACCATTATTTTGTTACTGTAATATTAGTAGTAACTGTAATGAAATATTATAAAGTCATTTGAATTTGTGATTCTTAAAGGATAAGGAAATGGAGGTGCTGGTGGTAATGTATCTTATGAATTTTTGTGTTAATGAAAAAGGGAATAAATGGGCTACTAAGTTTTCAAAGTCTGAATTTTGCTTTTAAGGTGTTAAAAATTGTTGGAGGTTGGCAAAAGTTGAGAAGCACACATTTCATATCTTGAGAAAAGTAAACCAAGACCAGAAAGATTTGTTCTAGTTATATCTAGCTACTGTGTTACTGTTCAATGTCATTTGAAGACATTTTATTGAAGACATTTTATTGAATTATGCCTGGGGCAGGGAGAGTAATAATCAGTATCAAGTACGAATGTTTATGTTAGATAAAGTGGTCCAAGTATGGTTCTGTAAGGAGCTCTGGTAGAGTAGTGGTTACGAATGGGGCTGCTAATCTCAGGGTCAGCAGTTCGAAACTACCAGCTGTTCCACAGGAGAAAGATAAGGCTTTTTGCCCCCTTAAAGATTTACAGCCTCGGAAACCCTGTACAGGGTCCTATGAGTTGGAACCAACTCCACGGAATATAACAACACAACAACAGTATGGTGCTGTAGGATCAGCACTGGGCTGCTAATCACAAGGTCAGCGGTTCAAACCCACTAGCTGCTCCTTGAAAACTCTGTAATGCAGAGTTGCTATGATTTGGAATCGATCCAAAGGCACTTAACAACAAAGTAGATATAAACAAACAAACAAAAAACCCATTGCTGCCATTGATTCTGACATGTAGCAACACCCTCTCCCTAGGGTTTTCTTGGCTGTAATCTTTATGGAAACAAATCTCTAGGGCTTTCTCTTGAGGAGCAACTAGGTGGGTTTGAACTTTAGATTAATAGTCCAGTGCAACCCTTTGTGCCACCCAGGAATCTTTTATAGCGTGTCACTTGTAGGAGTTTCTGTATTGAATGTGTTGAAATACTAATAGTTTAAAATGCCTTATAAACACAGGCTTTTAAGCAAGCTTTTGAGCAAAAGATAGTTTCTAACAACTTTCTTACCAGATCTTTTACCTTATTTCTGGACTTCTGTCAACTGAGAGCCGTAATAATAAAAGGCAGCTGTTTGAATGTTCTGGTGTATTTAGAAGATGGCCTACAAGATAGTTGCTTCATTTTAAAACCTTTTTTATTGATATTTTCTTTTAGATATTAAGACTAAAGCACGTCACTGTTGTAACCACAAAGAAAAATGTTGCGGCCTCAAGACGTGAAACATACACAGTGGATTTTATTAAAAAGCAGATTGAAGAATTCAACATAGGAAAGAGACATTTAGCCAACATGATGGGAGAAGATCCAGAAACTTTTACCCAAGAGGACATTGATGTAAGTACAGTTCCTTTGTTAGAAAAGCAATTACTGTAGGGTTTTAGATATTGAAAGCACTTTTCTTCAACATGCACCCCTTATCTCTGTGGATTTTAATCAAACTGTCAGAATAAGGAAGAATGCCAGTATACATTGTAAATTGCAACCATGGTTTAGAAGAGAGATGCTACACTTGTTGGAAGCACTATAAAATGTCATGAATTTGTAGAAGTTAGCTACAAATAAGACATCTCCCTCCATCCAAGGTCACAGGAACCACTGTGAATGATGGTGTTGTACTGTTCGGAAGTATTTGTCCTGGTCTGTAGTCTTACACTTGGCTTTCTTATACAATGATACAATAGATTGCTATACGATAAGCACTGGACCACAAGGTCAGTGGTTCAAACTCACCAGCCAATCTTCATAAACCCTATACAGGGTTGTTATGAGTCAGAACTGACCAACTTGATGACAACGACAACAAAAATGTAGTCACATTTCTAAGAGATCCCATAAATAAGCTTCCACTCAATGTTTTAATCTACTGTAGTATCCACTTAACAACAACAACAACAACAACAGTATATATTTAAGGAGTCTTGGTGTGGCACTGGATCAGTACTGGAATGCTAACCGCAAGGTCATTGGTTCAAATCTACCAGTCGCTCCTCAGAAACCCTACGTAGGGTTGCTGTGAATCAGAGCCAACTCTATGGCAGTTAACAATAATAATAGTGTATATTTGGATTTTCAAAGTAAAAACATGTTTTAAATGATTTGAGGATATTTTTAGAACCCTATTCCTGTTTGGGAGTCCTGGTGTTGCGCTGTGGGTTAATGCGTCAGATTGCAAAGCCATTTGAACTGCAAGGTTGGTGGTTCAAGCTCATCAGCTGCTCCTTGGAAACCCTTACAGGATTGCTATGGGTTAGAATCGACTCGATGGCACTCTACAACAACAACAATTCCTTTTTCACTCTTGAATTAGTATATTCTTGCTAAAAGTAATTGATACTTTTTACTAGCTCTCTCAAGGTAGCTAGTAATGGAGTTTACATTTAACAATAAGTTTTGAAGTGTGTTCTGATTTTTAAAAAAAGGTATTATATGACAGTCCATGTTGTTTTATAGTTAACTGAAAAATATCTCATATATACTTAATATTTTTATATGACTTTAATAATACAATTTTTACGCATTTTAGATTTAGTCCTTTTCTAAGATATCCCTTTGTTTATCTTTCTTAACTGTTTATGAATATTATGCAGTATCTCTATAAAACTCCAGGTCAACATTTTGGATTTTACCAAAATAAGTAGAATTTCTTACTGCTCCCTAGGTGGTGTTCATTTGAGGCTCTGTCTTTCTTAACTGCTGTCCTCTTTTTGAATCCTGTGATATATGGACATGATATGGAAATGTTAAAAATACTCTATGCTCATCACACTAATTTTATCATAGGCAGTATAGCTATTGCTCCACTTTTAGGAGAGGAGATGGAAATACAAAAAGGCTAAGTCTCTTGTTTAATTATGAAAATATGCAAATAAAGGAGAAGTTCAAAACTTTCAACTCTGAGCCCATTCTTCTTTTATCATATTTTTTTCATTTCATGGATAATAGATAACCTGACAGTATCCTCAATATGTAATTTTTCAGCTTGTTGGTAAGTCGATTCCTACTCATAGCGACCCTGTGTAGGATTTCCAAGGAGTGAATTTGAACCATTGACTTTGTTGTTCAAACTGACTTGCTGTCCAGTGCTTTATCCACAGTACCACTAATTTATTTATTTATTGATTGATTTTTGAGACATAGTAATTATCTTCATACGCAATATTTTTTTTTTAAAGGTTTTTATTGTGGATTGAATGAAACTTTACAGGGCAGATCATCAGTTTTAAATTCAACAAATCATGCACCTTGTTTCATTACAGTGATTATAATCCCCTCCATGTACCATCAGTTAACAGTATTTTTTTCTATTCACTTAAGCTTTTTTAAAAAAAAAACCAAAAAAACACTCAGGCATATATAATAATTTACACCTCCAAAGGACACATTCTGCAAGTCTGCCTCCTGGCCACCAGCTCTTAGTCCCTCACTTCCCATGAATCTAGAGTCCTCAGCTGCTACCCCTCTCCATGACCCCGTCTTTGTCTCTGTCTCTGGCATCGCTGCTTCTCTGGATAAGGTCCCGTATTCTGCTTGTGCTCTTCTCCCCTGATATTCCTAGAGTCCTCTGTTTCTGGACTGTAAGATTAACCACTCCCCTGTTTTTGTTGCAAAACTTGTACCTTCACAGTTGTGATTAGTCATGATAATCACAATTAGTCATAACATTTATTCACAGTTGAATCATATGAATCTTACCCCTATCTCTTTTACCAGACCCATCTAGACAAGATGAAAACTATTCAGTGGGGACTCTTTCTTCTCCCCTATACTCTTATGCTAAACTCCCTCTTGAAACCCTGTAAGACAGTCACTTTATGACTTTATTGCCCCCTCATTTTAAGTAGCCAATGTGTAAGTTGCCAGTCCCTATCTACCCTGTCTACAGAGGGTATAGCATTGATACTTGATGTGAAGACTCCTAGGCTCTCTGTTGGTATTTAGAGCAACAAATTATAGCAATTTAGCTTTGTTTCCTTTATCAAAAATTTTTTTTCTTTGTAGTCTTCCTCTATTCAAGTTCTGATTATCAAGCCATAGAGGCTAGGTCAGATGGATACTGTCTGCAAGTTTGAGTGTTCCTGTGCATCTCCCCTCACTTCATGTCAACTGGATGCTTCACTCTCAGCTCTAGCCCTCTGTGGCTATGTCTTTGTCCATGGGCTAAAGTGTCCCCAGGTCTCAACATACTTTGGACCAACCAGCCCTTCCTCTTCTCTCTCTTATCTCCAGGTCAACGGGAGTCAGTGGACTGTGGTTGAACTCAGCCCATTTCTTCATTGCTGTCTTTCCGCCTCTTCCACTCACTCGTAGACCAATGTGGTCGTCAGCAAGCTTACATGCCTGTTTGTGTGTTCCTTTTGCGTTTCAGTCGTAGAAGGGGGTTTGTCCTGAAGGAACTTGATTGCTAGCCTTGATGGCTTCCCAGTGAACAGCTTGCTTATTCTTGTAGTAGCCAGTCATGCTGACACTTTTGTTTTGGGTTTTTCCTGCTGATCTTTCTTTGAAGATGTATCTTCTGTTGCTCTAGTTGTTCCAGGCTGGTCTGCTTGTCCTTGCTAGTGGGAATGTCCCACCTCATAAGGTTCTGGATGGGACTCAGGATTCCACCTAAGGTCCTATACTCTGTAAAGGCTCTGCAAGAGGTCTATTTCACTGGGCAAGTTGTAGAACCCCTTTTAGGTATTCCAATCAGTTATAGGCTGAAGACAGGCTTATAAGATTTCTGTAATCATGTTTCCCAACATTCCTTTCTATCCCACTCAAGTGTCTATATTACAATAGTAGGCAAGGGAAACCAGTATTCATAAGACAGTTAAGCTTTTTAGTATTATTTCCCCTCTTCAAACTATGCCTAGATCCCTGTATCACAGAGCCTGGTTGTTCCAAGTTAACTGTGCTTTCTCTGTCTATTGAGATTACGTAGTTTTTGTCCTTTGTTCTCTTGACTTGGTATAGTATTCAGACATTCATTGATTCTCAGCTATTAAATGAACTTTAAATTTCCAGGACATTTAATCCTTTTTATGTGTTTCTGGATTCAGTTTGCTAATATTATGCTGAGGGTTTTATATTTATATTTTTAATTGGTATTGGTCTGTATCCAGTACTTGTAAGTGTATTTTAAAATGAATTATGTTATTTGGGGTAGTGGGCATCAGAGTATTAGTTTGGGATGTTTGAAATTATTTTCATGAGAATAAAATTTAGACAGAGTAGACATTTTCCATGTCTTGATATGGCACTGTAGATTAAGCAGTGGACTGGTAACGTCAAGGTCTTCAGCTCAAACCTACCGGCCACTTCTTGGAAGAAACCATTATCGTTATCTTCCATAATTTAAGTTAGCTACCTACATCAAATTCTAGTCTCTCTAGAGAATTTTCACAGATAAATTGGTGCCATTGTCTTCAGGTTAAACCATTGGTGATTTTATATATTTTAGGAGCCCTTGTGTGGTGCTGTAAGATAAGCACTGGACTGCTAACCACAAATGTCGACCATTTAAACCCACCAGCCACTCCTCAGAACCCTTATGCAGAATCGTTATTAGTCAGAACTGACTCTACTGTCTCAATGGCACTTAACAACAAAAACAACAGCAACATGTTACATACTTGAGAAATCAGATTTTTCATACTAATCCAATTGTTGGAGTAATGTTTGCTGGAACCCTCTGTAAATGTATTTCAGCACAAATTTTCTGATTTAAAGCGTTTTTTATACATTAAAATATCTCTTAAATTTGAAACATGTATTTAGCTTTGATTGGCTAAATACAGTTGTTTCCAGAGAAATCTTTAACAGCACTGTAAATATAAGTAATGGTCTTGTAATACTTTTAAAACTGAGTATTTGTGTACGTATGTGGTAAAAGTGATTTGATGTCAGTTTGTGATGTTTTACTAAGAGAACATATGCTAATCTCCTTTACATTTAGCCAGTAAAGTAATCATCAAGTTACATGAAAAATGTCTGTTTGATACTTAATTAAAATATATAAACTTTAAAAGGAAACAGAGCTACTTGTATTATGAGGAAGATATATTTTGTTGCTAAATAGATTTCTCTTGTCTGATAAATTCATTATAGTTTAAGTGATTCTGGATTAAGAGATTCCTTTCGGTGTCAGTAAGTAGTATCAATGTCAGTTGAGTCATGCTCTGTCACTCATTAGTGGTTACGAGTCTGGCTGCTAACCTCAAGGTTATCAGTTTGAAACTACCAGCTGTTCCGCTGGAGAAAGATGAGGCTTTCTGCTCCCGTAAAGATTTATAGCCTCAGAAATCCTGTACAGGGTCGCTATGACTCGGAACCGACTCCATGGTACTTAACAACAA